TTTTTTTGTTTTGACAAAACTTAAAATTGGGAACTAGGGTTTATTGGAAGATAATAAGATAGTAGAATGTGTGAGATAAAATTTTTTTATGAAAAGACGTAATATCTTTTTTTCTCTTTGTTTCTAATCGTTAGTTGGAAATGAGACACCCTAAAATTGAGAACTAGGATTTATTGAAAGATCTGACTGTAGGTATTGATTTTGAATTATTGTAATTGTACAATAGAATCTCTAAGATAGGTTTTTTAAGTAAGGAATTGCAATTCCTTGTTGGCTTAAAGGATTTACAAATTGTAAATTAAAAATTGTTGAAAAATTATATACATTGAAATATAGTTGGAATATTGATTTTGGAATATGGTAATGGGGCAATAAAATGTGTTAGATAAAAAATACGAGTTCGATTGATTTTAGATTTGATTTGTTGGTGAGATAATTGAATCTATAAGAGATGGTAGAATTTTGTTTTAAATTAAACTTTCCTCTACTATAATTATTATCTCTCTCTGATCTACATATATCACATTATTGATGTTTACCCCTTTCATGGTCAGTATTGCATATATGTTACAGTGTACTTGAACAAGGTAGCCAACTGAGCCATAAAAATATTTATTTTTGATATCTTCTTTATAAATTACAGTATTCAAAAGTGAATCAAAGAGCTGTATTTCACGTTGGAGTACTTTAAAATTATGCATTCTTATATCTTCTAAAGATTTTTCTTCGAATTAATGAGTTTGGTCCAGTATAATTACAACGAATCGTCTAATCTTACACTGCACTAAATATAATTTTCATTGTAACAAATTCAACGTTGAACAGGAAGTCCATCGCTTATCAGATTTCATAAAAGAATCCAAGCCAATTAATTTTTCACACGGTTGATGAAAAATTTTCAAAGTACAAAAACAAAGTACATGTATATCAAGCGTGTTTCTATCGAAGGTGCAATATTCCTTGTAATATTTGATATTTTAAAATAATTTTTGTTCCACGTAGACAGAATTTCGTTGTCAAGCTATCAAACTGCAACTGCAATGTATTTATACAAATTCAAACCTTCCCGAATCTCTGAACAGAAATTGAATTCATCCTCTGAATATTTCAACTATAAATCCATGTCCGCGGTCTGTTAATAACCTAATCTAAACCTTGCAGTTGACGCGATGTGAATCTCAAACTTAAAATGAAAAACAGAAGAAAAAGAACGAGTATATACTACCGTATGTATATATACTGCTTTCGAAACGCGTCGAGACTCCGATACTCTCAGGTACAGGGGAAACGACGAAGCGAAGACAGATCGCGGAAGTGTCTGTGCACGCGGAGGAAATGCACGCGCGAATTCATCGATAAATCCGCGGGCCGGCGTCGCGGCTCGGCTATTTTGCATAAAACGTAACGGAGTGTGTATGCAACGAGCCGCGATGGCATTTATCGTCGCGACGCATGCGAGCGAACCAGACGACGGTTTTTGTTCGGCTAGGCGTTGCGCACCACCAGCTCTCCGCCGGCCCGCCATTAAATCGAGATTTCGCCGGTGATTAGCGGCAGTTTGCCTCGCCTCGCTGCGCCCGCTAGTCGATAGATTTTCCCAATAATTTTCCGTCAGTTCGGGAGGAATTTCGCCGCGTGCCCGAGGAGCCCGGGCTTTCATCGCCGCTTATATTATAGGCCCCGTTCTTCCTGATTTTCGGCCACCGTGGAATTTAAAATGCCATCGTTATTCCGCGATCTTTCTCCCTTTCCTTTTTCTCTCTCGCATGGATTATCATACCTTATTCCCTCTCGATGTCGGATAATTCCAGGAGGTAGAAGTTTGCGGACTTTCCCGGTGGTATTACAATTTGCATTATTTACGAAAGAAAGGCTCGCGAGCGTTAATGATCTATTAAGTATTATATTCTCTGCCGTATTGGCGATAATAATTTATTTTGAAACGTATCTCACGTTTATTCATTATTCTTGTAAAATATAATTTTTTTTTTTTCTTCCTAAAAGTAACAATCCCATTCAGAAGCTACACTGATCAATTATTCATTCATTTGAAAAGTAATTTTACAAACACTGTTCTTTCGTCTTCTTTCAATGACTGAGAAATAAGTTAATTCTTTCTTGATAACTCAATACTCACTCTCTCGCTTAATAAAATTAAAAAACTAACAAAAAAAAAAAGTGGATTTACTCAACATGGTTTATAAGAGAGAACAATATAGTGAAACTGCATGTGTAGAATGTCGTTCAACTGTTTACGCTCGTAGTTTTCTGTTTAACGTAATTTAATTCTAATTCCAATTTCGTAATCTAGTGTTCTGCTTCTATGATACGCATTCTCGAAATCTCTACGAGTTTTCGTTCACGAAGCAAGTAAATTAGTATTCTCGAATTCGAGATCTCAAGGTACTCGGTAATCCTAATACGAAAGCCTGCGGGTCATTACACATAGTCGCCGACTTAAATGGCATTTCTCGATTAATTTATACCCCTTGCAAACAACCTGTTACACAATCTGTTAAATTAGAATTAATTACTCGAGGACCGCCATTAATCACGGTGGCGCGAGCTCTCCCTCGGGAAGTAGGAAAAATGGCCGTCGCGCGACGTGGAATTAAACATCAAACCATCCCAGTTTAGATAGACGATATCCAGAAACGGACGCGAAACCACGTTTCCATTAAACGTGCATTATCGATTAACAAACTCGTCCAGCTGAATTAAATGTCCAGCTCCGTATCGGCGGCCAGTCGATGGTGATCAAAAAATCCATTGTAAAATCCATTGGAACTCGAATCGCCGATTCCGAGGGAGAGAAAGGAGACGAATTTAGAGCGTTGCAGCCCTCCATTTCGCTTCGAATTAAAATTTTCATCCGGACGTTCGTAGCCAGACGTTCCACCTAATTAAACAACGGTGATCCTCGGATCGGGCGAATCGTGCACGTTTCGCTCGTGAAAAGAGCAAACGAGAAGTTCTCCCGTGTTGCAAACAGAGCGAGAGTGAGAGAGGGATCGTTTGAATTGCAGGAACACCGGGTTGAAAAAACCCAAAATCTCGGCGGCTTTTTAATTACATGTTCGTTCCTCTCCGGGTTGCGAACCGATGCATGATGTACGATTTATGTACGCAGCGTTTCCGATTAAATCGCGGCTCTGCTCGCGAAATTCCGTTGATTTATCGGCGGCTGAGTCGCGGACCAGCATCACGGAGCTATAGCTCAATGGGAATTTCTTTGTAGCCACGCGAATCGTAATGTAGGATCTGCTTCTTTATGGTATATGAAAGTTCTCTCCTTTTTCTTTTCCCTCTTTTCTTTTTTTCTTTTTTTAATCTTTGTGAACCTCGAGCGGCGAGTTTAAATGATTTGCGAGGCAGTGTTAATGTTTCGTGGGCCGATAACGTGGTAGATCTAACGTGGTGTAATTCACGAAAGATACGAGTTATCGCGGTTGCGATACGACGGTGCGTTGGAAATATTGAATTTTGTGGTTTCTTGCGGTTTTGATATCTTGGTCTACGTAAAGTGGATGGGTTATCACGGACGTTACGAGTTAGTTATTAGGGGAAAGGTATTCTTTTTTTCCCTCCGTTGGATGAAAAAATGAAATATGAACCGTTGATGTATGACGCTAGATTTAATATAGAAATATGCAAATACAACGCATATATATTTTGTATGCTAAATATAAAATTCCTCTGGAATCGTATGTCAACCATCATGTTTCATTTTGCATTCAACAGAGAAATATCTCGATCCGTGACTACCTATCTACTTACGTAGATCAAAATTTTATATAAAAATATGTAAAAATATAACGCAACATATTTTATGAAGGGTATTCCAGTTTTTACGCGAAAAGAATGTAGAACAAAATTTTTTCATTTCATACCTCAGATATTTTCATATCTGAACTTTATATAGTGTTATATGAATAGATATTGAATAAATTTTGTAAGTGAGTATGTACTCACAAAATGATTAGCCGAGACAAATCCTTCCATTTTTTATGTATCAACGACTAAAGAAACCAGATCCCAAATGCGATATATTCGTCATTTTGCCTGCTCATGAAAGCAGCTCGTAAATTTTCTAACAAACATCGCCACCCCGGCGGGAGGCCTTCGGCTATAGTAATATACATTTTCTCATACTTTTGCGTTGGAAGATTTCTCACACGTTGCACAATGTATCCCAGTTATCGGGAAATATTGCAATAGAACAGAGAATACGTCTCGACCGTGTCGAACAAATCGGATGCACCGATATAGCAGCGTATTTTCTCACAGATTAAATCGGATGTATTTAGTTTCGCTTCAAAGTATCGTATTTTTATTTTTTATTATTTTTTTTTTTTTTTCTATAACGCGTAAAATCCAACCCTGAATCCATTTTCACCCTCCTCCCCTCGCCTCCTTCCTTTTTCGTTCGACGTGCATATCCCACCCGCAAGCGATATACGCGGATAAACAGCGGAACCATCTGCGTTTGTTATTGCGTTTACAGTGTCGACAAAGAGTTAACCGCTCAAAGCCGAAGGTTTAACGATGAACGGTGAATTTACAGCTAACG